ATTAATCCGTTTTTTTTTTTTTTTTTTTTGTAATAAAGTCAAATCCAAATTATTAATAAAATTTGAGAAAAGTGCATTGGCTCTTGGTCTTCCACTTCGTATGCACGAACGTACACATAAACGAGAAATTTCGTTCGCCGCTCGACGCTCGGATGAACATTTTTATCCGGCCAACGAGTTTCCGCGCGTTCAATAAGTCAGGTTCAGTGTGAACGTTCGAAACTTTTCCGGGCGGCTTTAACGAGCAATAGCCGCCGATTCGCGAACTGCAATCGGCTCGCGTTGCAGCAATTAAGAGCTCCGCGGCGTGGACTGCGGGAAACGTGGGCTACATCGTGGGAAAAATGATCGTGTCGTACTCGGGGGCGGGGGGGGGGGTGAATGAGAAGTGATGGGTATCGCAAATGAGAAAGGTGGAAATGAGAGGAGCAGCAACGAACGAGCACTACTATGGTTATACTATGTTGTTGTGTTCAATTCAATGGATTTTATACTCGCCTTCCGATCGGCAAGACGGCAAGTCTGCGTTTCAACGTGACAAAAATTCGTTCGATTAGTGTTGTAATAAGCGCTTTCTTGTTTGTGTGTGTTAAATGCTAATGTAACTAACGCTAATTAATGTTTCTGTATCATTAATATAATTGCTTTTCCATATTGCTTTTAGATAGTAACTTGTGCTAAAGATAACTTATATTAACCTTCATCACTACCAATCGTAATTGAAATCGTAATATTACAAATATGACATGTGTAATTATGATTAACCTTAACATCATAATCTTAATCACAAGTCACGCCACTGCGAAATTACTTCAATAGTTCACTACATCGTTCCATCAAGTTTTCTTTTCTTTTGATTAATTAAAATTTGTTCTTTAATGAAATTTAATGTGAGATGTATTTGCTGAAACATAATTGATTAATGTCAGTGCGAATATCAACGACAGAACAAGAAAAATCACTTTAGTTATTATTTTCATAATTGCTTGTACGACATAAGAATTCTTCAGAAGGAGATCATAACACCAACAATATTGCGATTTTATGTACTCGGATTAATTAACTGTCATCTCCTCGATTACTAGTTATAAATAGAGGAGCATCGTTGGTGTGACCGTCTTTCTGCGTCATCTCGAAAATATATTTGCGAACAAAAAGAAAGGCGGAGAAATCACCGTGGTTGACGTGGTAATCGACTTACTTGATGGACTTGAGAGATTCGATCACTTTGTTCGATGGGTCGAGCCATTGCATGTCCTTGACGAGCGATATATCGTCCACCTTTGGTCTGCATGTGAGAAGGATGCTGGAGCCGATCGGCTTCGTCTGTGTCTCGCCACTTGGCAAGATGTCCAAGGACGGAGCGGTATCCGCGGCATTCGTGTAAGCTGCAAAAGGAAAACCGCAAACGTCATTAGCGCTGACAAGAAGGATGAGTGCGTGCATACGTGCATATGCGTAGTACGTGTTTTGTTAGGTGCAGTCGCTATAAAAAAAAAAAAAAAATATATACCAACGAGAAACACCGGTTCCGGATAATGATATAATTAGCGGACAATTATATGACAATCGTCGCATTTAGTTTTGCCTGAATGCAGAATGTCAAGGAAGGGTGAGCGTGCGAGTGGCTGCATTTTTGTATCTTTTATAACATTCAATGGTTAAGTTAGGTTTTACACTTTTGTACTGCAAATGAAACGCTACTTTAAACTTTTAAGGTTTTTCCATAATTTATATTTACTCATATAATTTATTATCGTAATTAGTACACACGTTTGTTATAAAAATTAAAATAGTGCTAAATAATAAATTATTAAGTTCATCATATTTTTGAGTCAATTATACCTTTATTGTTTTCAATTTATTAAAATTTTAATCCCTCTCCTTTAAAAAAAGAATATCGATAATCTTATTAGACTTTAAAAAAGTATCATCAATTCAGAAGAAGAGCTAAAAAAAGATGTATATATTAATTAAAATATAATACTAAGAAGATGATCCACTAATATTTCCAAGTTTTCAGACACCCTCCTAAATCTCTCTTAAATCTGTGTTAAGCCCATCGCAAATTTACCAAGTGCATAAAATTTAATTTATTTTTCTTCTTAAGATCGCAGTTTGAAATAACTTTTCGGAGAGATAAAATCGGATAGTTGCACAGTCTTACCCACGCGAGTGGGACGAGGCGACACCGCTTCCGACAGCGGGGGTGGCGGCGGCGCCGTCATCACGTAAATGCAGAACACGGAGAGGCAGATCGGCGTCGTCTCGGCGTTCATGATTGCGTCGCGTCGCGTCGCGTCGCGTCGCGTAAAACGCCTTTGGGGACTAGATGCGTGCATGAACTATGACGACGGTATGCGAGCTTCGCCGGAATGCAGGCGTGCGCGACCGGGTGCCAACGGCGTGGCTCGGCGTGGCTCGGCGTGGCTCGGCGTGGCTCGGCGTGGCTCGACGGCAGGCATAACAGGAAGCGGGAATTGAGCTAATTAATTGCGGCGAGCGAAAGTGCGGAATTGCCCTAACTGGGAAACGCTCCGTGACCTCCTCCGCGTTTGCCTCGGACAGACCGCGGAAAATCTGCGCGCATTACGGCATACGTATGTACGTGATAGAAACGCGGCTCTCTCTCTCTCTCGGAACCGGCTGC